GCAATTGAAAATGAATGTAGTTTGGAAAGACCACAAATTTGGATGATATAACCCGGAAAGCTGAGAACATATTTGTTATTGTTATTTATTAAAAAATATATTTAAATAACATTTGAATATTTTTCTATGAATCTGGCGACGATTTCTGCTTAAGTGAAATTAGTATATGTACTATATTACTCCAATACGCGTGTGGTATCTTTAAAAAAAACAATTGGTTTCAAAATGTACGAGTTCCTTTACTGTATGCGCCTAAAGGTATGCAATGTTTTTTAGTTTTTTTTATTAATCGATTTATTTTCAACTGGCTACGATTGTGCCAATTGATACTTCAAACATGACCAGTTATGGCGGAAATCTACAGCTTTATGGCTTCAAAAATATACCTTCCTCCAGTGAAGGCTTCAGACCCTAAAATATTACTTAGTCCCACGGTCAACGAATAATGAATCATGTATGGACAGAATCTTCTATCACAACATTGGATACAGATGGTGATTCGTGACCTGTGAGTTCGGTCTGGGTTTTATCACAGAGTCGGGGTTATTTTTCAAATGTGGAAATTATCATATGAAGCAGAAACTCTGTCGTAAAAAACAAAACGATAACGCAACGGACTTTTAACGGACTCCGAAAGGAAATTTTAATAAATTGTTCCTGGTGTGGTACGAATAATAATAATCCTTCTCAAGTTGCATAAGCACAAAATTCTGATGTGTTGCAACATTACTTACATATCTGGTTAGAAGCAGAACATGTGTGCCATATGTCGAGTTTAAAAGATTTCCTGGCGCGTATGCATTGTGCGCAGCTTTTCCAATTTGAAAGACCATGTTTCGATATGTTGTCCTCCACTTGATCTTTCCATCGAATTCGTAGCCTTCCCTTCTGCATTAACCATCAGTTGGCTAGTTTTTATATGCCTTTTGAGCTGGGTCATTCCCATTCATTCTCTCGACATGACTATGTCGATGTCCGAGTATAAATGTTGCAACTCGTGGTTCATTCATCGGCGGAGACTTTTTCTCTCAAACACTTCACGATCTACTTCGCCAGCGTCTTGTAAAGTGTGAGTTGGGTCTGGCGAGTGGTGGCCTGGTACTTATCTGTTGACCAACACTATCATTCTACGATTTTCAAACCGGTTTCGTCTTCTCGCCATTTACTGCCAGTTCCACTTCAACAGGTGGCTGTTAGCGATCGCAATGTTCGACCCATTCTGTCGACGTCATCGGCATAGGCGAGTAACAGAGTGCCATTTCTGTTCACCTTTGTATCTCGTATGATCTTTTCCAGCAGAATATTAAAAAGGATAGGGAGAAGGGCGAATGCAGCTTTATAGCATAAAATAATGACACAATTATCCACATTTAAAATGTTTCGCGCTCCTATCGGGTATACGTCTTCTTCCAGAACTTGGAAAAGTGGTGGAAAGAATTATGGTGGCACGGCTTAGGGAATGCTACAGCGAGGGTACGTCCTATCAGTTCAGGTTTACCGAAAGTAGAAGTACCGTGGGCGATTCTAAATATGTCCTTGGCATATTTGTGGATTTCAATGACGAGGGAGAAGGCTGTCGAATGCAGCTTTATAGAATAGGTGGAATGTGTATTCTAACATAACCTCAAATTATTAAAGGGGCGCGACCCCCAAGTGGCGGAGGGAGGATAGGTGAACGATCATACTAACATATTACAATCAGTTAAAACTGGAGGTAATGGCATAGTCTGATCAAATGGTTAATGGGGCATAAAAGTAAAAAATAGCCAAAATGAACCAAAAGAATGAATGAACCAGCAGGATAAACCTGATGATCCCTCCACTTCCTCGGAAGTGGCGACGAGGATTAGGTCTACGAAAGCCAAACCCGGAAAAAGAGCTTCCGGTCGACTGATAGCAAAAGAAGGCATAACCTACCCAAAGTCAACGGAGATTGACGCAGAAATCTATCGACTGCGAGTGGCGATGCCGCCTCTAATATCAAAATTCAAGCATCCGAATATGCCCTGAAGTCCGAAAACTTCAAAATAACTAACCGGAATTCACGAAAGAGGAAAACAGCTGAAATAGATGATAAGCAGCCGTTGTCTTACGCAAAGGTTGACAGGCGGCGCGAAATAGACGAGCTCTGCTATATAGTGATCGACGAAAACAGCGCGTCTGGAAAACTAAAAAGGGGACCCAAAAGGAGTTGAAGAATGCGGTCAACAATAAGATCATGGAGAATTTACTGCAAAGGGGTGTCCATTAATGTGGATAGCTGCAATAAAATCCCTGAAAAAAATAGAGGCGGATATTGTCCCAATAAATGAGACAATCAAACTTCCTCAATTATTAAAGGCAAGGCTCTTCGTTAGAGGCTGCGGTCTCCTTTTTTAATTTTCTGGAGGACAATTGGCAGACGTCTTTCTGGTAAACCTCCATCGGAGTGAAATGAAATGTAACTATGGAAAGTAAGATGTGTAGTATTGTGCCACACTCGTTGTTTTGACAAATCCGATTGCGGAACAAAGAAACTATCCCAAGTTACTCCAAGTCTCCAACTTAAGTTAGTTGAAAATGTTTGTTAACGATTTTTGTGATAGAATCCGTTAATTTAATTTCTCTAAGTTCGCGGCCGAATCTACGTTCGTTTTCGCCGATGTCGAACAAAGTCATAATGGTACAATTATCCACATTTAAAATGTTTCGCTCTCGTATCGGTTATAAAACTTCTTCCAGAACTTGGAAAAGAGCTGGAGATGATTATTGTGGCACGGCTTTGGGAATGCTACAGCGTGGGTACGTCCTTATATCATTTCAGGTTTATCGAAGGTGAAGTACCGTAGACGTTTTGCGGCATGTGCAAGATATCCTGAGCGAGTCCCATTCCAAATATGTCCTTGGCATATTTGTGGATTTCAATGACGCGCTTGACTTCCTTTTATGGGATAGCATGCTCACAAGGTTGTCAGAGGTCGGATGCAGGGAGAGTTATTTCCGAGAGAGCAAGCCCAGTGATTCGGTCTGGACGGATGTGCAGCGATATTGTCCACAGTTTGTGTTCCTTGTATATGGAACCTCATGATGGACTCTCAGTTGCGAGAGTCAGTTGCCCTCTACAAGGTTTGTGCGTATGCGGAAGACTTGCCCATCATGAACTTGAAAATCGTGGTGAAAGAGCTGCAGATAGTGCAGACCTCGAGTGACCGATTTGGAGTGAAGGTGGCAACCGAAAAGACGGTGGTGATGCCGGTGAAGGCGGCATAAGGAATAACGGTGTCCTAGAGGCTGAACTTCCTTCCGCACTTTGATCGGTTGGAAAAGCTGACAACGGTCGTAGGGACCATCAAGTGTATTTTGCGGATCGATTGAGACTTGAGTAGGCGTGCGGTGGGTTGTTGCTTGTGCAACTTATGGTTCAACTATATATCACAAAGTCGTCTAGGCTATCTTAAGACTGAATTAGCTCCATTCGTGTCAGCGGGACATCATGCTAGCATGTTTACAGTTTGTCGCACTGCTGCTTGGCGCCATGCCGCTTGATGTAGGACTGTCATAAGCTTAAGCATGGCATGCAGTTGAATGTATATGATGAGGATAATAGGTGGTACAGCACTACCTTTCGGGAGTGTGTTGTTGATACGTGGACGGGCAGTGACAAGGGAGGGTGATGTACGAATTTATTAGTGGCGCTACGTTTGTACTTGACCGGCCAGACTCTCGCTTCGGCTTAAAATTGCTTGCTGACGGGGCATGGTTCTCTAAATGCCTGGATGTGAGATGACTGAAATATGGAAACATATACTAACGGAATGCTGTTACTATGATGGAGAGATGTAGCAAATATGGGTTTAACGAATAGAAAGGCGGGTTGGATTTCAGTAGGTTTCTTGACGACTATCGGACTCTAAGCTGTTTAAATAGTTTTGCTAGTGAAGCGTTTAGAGAGAATGCAGTACTTAATGGAGGATGTCTTCGGTGGCGTTGGGTGTTGGTGCGGCGGTTGGCGATGAACGAGCTGACTGCCGGTGGCTGTTTGCGTCATGGGTTTGTATCGTTGGTGTTTCACGAGGTTCATTCTTTTTGTGGATGTCGTGATGGTTATCCGTGAGGGCAGTTTCGTTGATTCTTGGTTTTGTTGTCGGATGCCGCGGTCCTTTGAACTCCTTAGTTAACAAGGAGTTCAAAGGACCGCGACATGCTAATTATTTTTTGTTCTGTGCGCTGATAGCTGCCAGTTGTAGTTGGCATGTTGCTTCGCGCCGCACGGGGTTCTTGCAAGCCGTGTTGTAACAGAGCCTTGCTGCTGCTGTGACGCTGAGAAGTAAGTAGCACATGTGCCGTATATTTTTGAACTGGTATACTAGCCGGGACTTGTGTCGAACTGGGAAAGGCTTTGGTCTCGAGTCTGACCATTTTCCGTACCACGGAATCAGGGGGTTGAGGTTTCGCCCCTCACCAACGGGGAAAGTGTGCCTTCAGCATGCTTGCCGATTGGTACAGCATTATTCAGGTACTGCTCTGAACAACGTTTTTTCTTTGCTTCAACATTCTAGAGATTATCATTGATTTTATCAACTCTAAACAAAATATAAAACACAATTGGCTCAAAGTTCGAGAGTTAACCAATCGTAGTTTAAGAGAACATTCATTCCATTGTTATGTTTGGGTAACAGTCGCTATTTAATTATCCGACGAAGAGACTTTATTTCCCAGCTAAGGCAGCCGAAATTACAACGGAGGTATCACCTTATTACTCAGTATTGTTACCGCAACTATTAAATATTTTTATTAATGAAAAAATTTATTTCAAAAAATTTAATAAAATAAATTCAATCTTCAACTTAACTTCATATTCTATTTATATTTATTACCAAAAAAATATATAACTAACAAAGTAACAAAAAATGTATTGTAATTCAAAAATAATAATATATATTAATATTAAGACTGATATAACTAAAACTCTTAAAAACTACAATATCAGTATACTAAACGAAAAGCAATACTTAGTATTATTATTTCGCATTTGTTGACAAATTTGGAATATATTTTTTTAAAATATTTTCCAATTTCGAACAGCTTTCCTCGGCTGCTGACGGTGATAGATTTCCAAAACCATAAATCCAATTTTTAACAACTAAATCACTATCACAACTCGACATATTTATATCACTTATATAACGTTCGGGAAACACAAATTCCGATGAATTATTTGTTCTTTGATCATTTACACTTTGATTTAGTTCGGATGGTGTTTTGATGTTGAGTTTACGACGATTCGGCAGTTTAACATTACGAAAGATATTCTCGAAACGTTTGTAATATTTTAGATTCAATGGGCAGCGACTTAGGGTATCCTGTTTCTTAAAGACACAATAGTTTTGTGCGGCTCGTCGGAAGCACAATAGACAGTCGGTAACTGTAAATAAAATAAATATGATTAAATATCATTTTTATTTGATCGATTCTGTATTTTTCTTTTCTCACCATCCATTTGTAAGTCCTTGGCAACATTTTCCCACGCCTCCAATTTCTGCAAACAGTCACCTTTTCCATAAATTATGGGATATTTTTCTATGGCTGTCAATAATGTCACCATTTCCACACGTTTCTTAGGAACATCGTTCACGTTTAATGTTTCCAAGATACTTTTTGATGTGGAAGGTTTGGGTTCCGTTTTAATAATTTCTGTAAATTAAATAAAAAGTTAATTTAAAAAACAATCGTATGCGGGATAAAACTCTATTCCATACCTTTCTTGCCGTAACGAACTTTCATTTCAATCATAGCACAACGATCAATCTCCTCCAACATTTTATTACTAACAATATAATAATAGGGTTCATTTGTCGAATATCGAGCCTCAACGAGAAATTTCATACGGGCCAAAACACGCCACCAATTAATATGCCATTTGCTATGAATGCTAACTTCGATATCATCCATATACTGACAAAATACCTTCTTCAAAGCTGTCCAAATGCTGCTAATGTCATCTAGAGGAAAAATTCGGGATTTAGACAATTTATAAAAATTTAGTGAAGAAGCGTATGGTACTTACTTATATTCGGAAATCGTAAATTTAGTGTACGAAAAACACAAAGAGCTTCCATATCGGTAGCTGACGTTGAGTCTTTGGCATCCTTTGTCACATCCTTATAAAGGACAGGATATGTTCCAATACACTCGACAATCTCGGGTAGACGTGAATTGTATTCCAACCAGCCATTGGCAACTAAAAATAAAATAAATATTAAATCGTTCCGAGGACTTTTTCCACAGGAAAAAAAATGTGCTCAGCCCCTATGACTTTTTTCCATGTGACTTTTCTCTATACGAAAATAAATTTTGCTGTGGACTTTTTTCCATAGGAAAGAAATTGTGCTCAGCCACTGAGGACCTTTTTTATGGAAGAAATTCTGCTCAGCCTCTGAGGACTTTTTTTCATAGAAAAAATATGCTTAGCCACTGAGGACTTTTTCCATAGGAAAGAAGTTGTGCTCAGCCCCTGGGAACATTTTTTTATTGGAAAAAATGTGCTTAAACACAGGATATTTTCTTTAAAAGGTATAATTTTTCCAGCTGGTAAAGGTATTTTTATAGCAATGTGTCTTTAGCTGCTGAGGATAGTTTTTCCTATTAGAAAAAATTGTCCTCAGCTTTCTTATAGCAAAAAATTGTCCTAAGTTGCTGAGTATATTTTTTAAGAGTTTCTTCAGTTATAATTTTTTCCAACAGTCTCCTCTCATAACTTACCAGCTTGCTTATCAAATGAATCAAATAGTGCAGTCGACTCCGTCCAAATGTGAATTGAAGCAGTAAAGGGTTTCATTAGTTCCTTCATTGGAGCAATTTGTGGAAAATGATTGAAATTTTCCAGTAAGAAATTCCAACAAGCTTTGCAAATGTGGGCTGAGAAAGAAACAATGTCATTAGATTTAATCAATTACAAATATCTCTGAATAAATCAATTGATACTTACTTGGTAAACTGAATATTTTCGAAATATACTCCCAATAGGTATTAACCAAATGCCCTTGATTGTGCGGTTTTGTGTTGTGCAGCAGTGGTATAGACATGACTTCACGTATAAATTTGGCAACAGTTGGCATTGTCAAATGATATTTCTCACTTAGTGGTGGTCCATGTACGACCAAGAGGTTACCATTCGGTGATGCTATCAATTCAATTAGAATTTCATTTGGGTTGAGTAAGGATACGGCATTGCTAATTTTTGGTAATGGTCCTGCAGCAGATGCTGCTACGGGAGGAGCTTGCGATGTTGTTATGGCAGTTGGAATTGTGGTTGTGGCAATTTGTTGTGTCGGCGCGGTTGATTTATTGTTGTTGTTCTTATAATTATTATTGTTAATGCCCACATTAGTGGATTTTATTGTTGTATTTATGGAAACCATGGGAGCCACATCATTCTGACTGGTGGAGCTACTAATTTGATTGGTGGCCGTCGCAGCAGCAGCTTGCTGCATTGCTGTCCTAATATTCGGTTTGGCATTCGAAGAAATATTGGAAGTAGAGTTGACCAAAGAGTTCTTACTAACTGCTGAGACATGTGTATTCTCTGGTAAAGTATATGTCAATTGTATGCTATGTCCTGGAACCAAAGATCCATTTAATACTGTTGTTGGTGGAGGTTTTGGTGTTGGCACCGTATTCGCAACAATTTGTGTTCCAATTGGACGAATTTGTAAAGACGAATTAACACCATTGAGTATTTGTGGTGCCAAACTTATGGCCGATGTTATTCTTGGCAATGGTGCGGAATCATTTTGTGCAGCATGAGTTGTGGCTGGAGTGGCGCTGATATGTGTAGTTGTGTTTGCGGAGTTGGTTTTTTGCTTAGATTTTTGTTTGTGAGCTTCGTGGCGTCTTTGTTGTTCTGCTTGTTTGGCCAATGGTGACTGCTTGGCCATTTCATAAAGTTCGGTGATGATAACTTCAAAATACCATTTATCCGTCAGTTGGTAGCTGTGCTGGCGCATATTCATCAATTCCCAATAGAATAAACGCATTATTAGCCAAGTGGTTTCACATTCACCGGGGGAGTTGCCTAAAAATAAAACGAGTTTAAAAATGTAAATTTTACTACACATTTTTTCTCATCTCATAAGAAGACAATTTCTTCAGCGGAAACTTTTCGATTTTGTAAATATTTAAAATTTTCATATGAATTCCTTACCTTTCATTTTGGCCACATCACCCCACAAGGTAAAAAATTGCTTTGTCTTTTCCGAATTCTTCAACAGAGTATCAGTTAAATAGACAACATCGGGTATTTTCTTTAAACGCAATATGAAATTATAGATTTCTTTGAAATAATCCATGGGTTCACACCAGCATTTCTTTAAATAATATGAATGTTTGTAAACTGTTTCGGGGCTGAGAAAAAAAATAAACAACAATTAAAAAATAAACAATAAAAGGAAAATCACCAAAAACATACTTGGTTAAAATATATGGCTCAAAAAATTCCATTTCCTTTTGTAATTCTGTTTGACATTTGGCCACATCACTACCTTGTGTTGTCTTGGAAATTTCCCATTCATAACGGGTTGTCATCAATATCCAGCACTTCATTAATTTGGTGGCTAACAAAAAAACACAATTGCATTAATTTTAAAACGAAAATAATTCATTTCCATCCAACTTACCTTTATCTTTAACTTGTACTGCAATGGCATTCCATATTAAACTTTTCCTAGTATAATCATTGAAATCACTACGCGTCGTATCATATAGTTCAGGATATTTTTTAATCTCTGCAATAAGGTTACGCATTTCTTTGGTAACCTTAAATGGCTTTTCAGTCTGTTTGGCATCATCGTCTTCATCGATGACAATCAACTCCACCGGTTGTTCAATCAATATCAAATCATCATCAATTTTTGTTTGATGTAATTCTGGTTCACGAACTGGTTCCGGGATATCATAAGGTATTTCACAGTGTTTACGATTTTCAATAAAACGAAATAAATAAATCAAATCACTATCGAACTCCATAGTGGGACGAGTTGCCGACGACTTTTTAATGCCATTGATAAAGTATTTGCGCAGGCGTCGAACATAACTTTGATAATTGTAACGTAGCTCAATCCACGTAGTTTTACAAGTATCCACTGCAAAAGGGAATAGCGAGGAGGTCAGTTTAAAATGCATACATTCACATAAGATAAATTTGAAAGTGAAATACTTACCATCTGTTTTTAATTTTTTGGCAATTTCTTGCCAAACTGCATTCTTTTTCTCCAAATTGGAAAATGATTTATGGTTATTGTCATAGAGTATCCTATGCTTACGTACTTGACGTATCAGCCGTTTTTCAAAACATTTTGGGGATTTTTCTTTAGTATTGTTGTTGGATTTTGATCTTTCCGTTGCAGCTGGCATCACTTCATCTTCTTCATCCAGTACTATGCAGTCCATCTAAAAATGTTACAAAAAATGCGGTTATTTATATATTTGTATGTAACACTTCGATACATTCGCCATAATAAAATTCTATACAGATTTAGCAATGTCCCACAGTCTTTTGAAATCATAATAGAGCTTTGAAATTTTTCACATACAACATTCTAGTAGTAGGAGTAGTATCAATACTGCTAGAATGTTGGGTACTGAAAATAATATAACCCCCATATATGTTAGGTTAGGGGATGTGCAGTCACTTATGTGGCTGCAGCGTTAGGTCCGTTGTGATCATCCACGAGAAGAAAAGAGAAAGAGAAATGGGCAGATCTGTAGGGGAGACAAGATTGGGGAAATAAAGAGAGATGAGAAGCTTACAGAAAGATATAATAAGGTAAGGTAGGAATAATATCGATCGCTATAGAGGTCAGACAGAAGATATATAACGCATCAAAGTTGCACTTTCCCAACCACTTTAGGTTTCTAATTATGTTGTAGATTAGAGCAGGTTCGGTTGTTGCGAAGAAGCTAAGACTCGGTGTTAAATGAGCACCAACTAGTCTGTGCCGCCTGTAAGCCAGGGCTGGACAGTTACACAGAAGATGCTCAATTATCTCCGCCTCCTCCTCGTCAACGCAGAGTCTACAGTATTCAATTGCATCAAGATCCCATTTAGTAGTAAAAGGCCCTGATATTGCAATGACCAGTAATGATTCCTTTTATTACTCTTAATTCAGCTTTGTTCAGGTTCAACAGTGAGTGGGTTCTTTTGGTAGACAGAGTCGGCCAAATGGATCTTGACACGTTGCACCTAGGTTCGTTGTGCCAAAGTTCATAGGCTATTTCGTTGAAGAACGCCTCAAAGTTCCGGCAAAGATGACATATGGGTGGTTTGATTGAGTCATCAATTGCTAGATCTGTGGATTGAGATTCTCGTCTAGATAGTTCGTCTGTTCTTTCATTATCCAAGATGTCAGTGTCCTGGTACCCAACACAGCCGATAGCTGTAAGTAAGTTCTTCCAAAGCTGTTCTACAATTGAGGACGGCCTCAGATTTGATAGTCACCGGTTCAAAGACCTCTGCATCCAGACTTTTTGATCAATTCCGTTGCCTCCCAAATCGCGAAGATTTCAGCTTGGAAAACACTACAGTTGCAATCCAGCTTTTAGGTTAACTCACTTTGGATACATTGGACGGTTACGTCCAATTTTCGGTATTTTGAAGTTTTTAATAGAACTTCCCAATCATAGTGGCTGGCTAGCTTGTTAGAGGGTAAAAACATAGTTGCTGTGAAGTTGCTATACAGATCATTGTTCTAACATAGATCTATTATACAAGTTTCGCCCAGTTTTACATATTTCGATGGTCTGAACGAATTTTTCACGTTTAGATATGGCTGCACATAATGCTAACGACCCATTTTTGATATGTTTAATGTTCTGCCTATGTTTATGTTTTGATGGTCCTATATACATTTTCTAACCGAAGTGTCTCTAATATTGGGTAAAAACCTGCTTCGCAGAAAATGTCCAATGCTGCTGTTTTTGTAGCAACAAAATACATAATATTATGGGGTATAGATTTTCTAGTTCTGGTTCCTCTTTCTCCAAATTCAAACATTTTGAAACATGAATAGGTGATAGTTGAACCGGCTTAGCTGGGCAGTTAAGAGGTGCAACGTGTGGTGTGGTCCTAGTCCACATGTAGAACATGTGTTAGGTATCGGGCAGTCAATTCTTTCCCAATAGGTTGCAACATCCTGAGCAGCTCTTAGTTGAGCTGAGACTACTCGTGTTTGTCGGAGCAGCTGCTTCTTCTCTGCTGCGATGGATGGTGGGTGGTCTCCGAATATGCTTTTCACACGATGTTGCTCTACTGTCTGAGCAACTGCGACTGTCATTCATACCTGCTCGCTAGGCTTGTTTCTAGATCATAAAAATCTCTACTGATGTGCCAGGGCGGGGGTGTTCTGTCTATAAGGCTATGAAAGGGGTGTTCCCGACACACAAGAATGTACCGTATTGAAAACATATACATAGTTGTGTCGATGGGCAGATAAGATCTTCGTCTTCTCATGAAGATGGTCCACTGGAGTCATGAGAAGACATCCTGTTGCAGTTCTCAGGGCAGAAATTCTGACAGGTCCGGATATTCTTCAACTGCGTATCACTTGTATTCCAAGTGCTGCCGGCTAGCGACTTGAGGGCATTTGTCTTACTTCTCAGCTTATCGTATAAAGCAGCAGATTCCGCAAACGACTTGAAAGGATATCGAACGTTACACCCAGTATCTTGTGGTAGTTTGTGGTCGGAATCGGATCTCCATCGATCATTATGTTCAGCGGGAGCTTCATTTCAGCCACCCATATGGCTTTTGATATTGTGTGCGGATATTTTGATATTCCTCAGATGGAAGAAATTTTCCAGTTCAACTATGTAGAAGTTTGACCTCTCACAAATCTCTATGCGTCCGGTGGTTGGGAATTTCAGAAAGGTAGAGGGTAAACAATTTCTAAAATATGAAACCTTCCTTGGGGAAAAATCTGCTTCACTCCACGGAGTAGGGTCCGCTCCCATGACAAAAATAATACACATGTATTTTGTAAAGTGTCAGCCTCTGGTCGAAGTCCATTTCCGAGTCAATTGTATGTCCAATGTAGGCCAAGGCAATCGAATCAAACAAACATCTGTGCAGACTTCTGTTTGCAAAAAAACAAAATTGGGTTCGCCTTCGCTCCCCCACCGCAGTGTCCATGTATGAGATATGTGTTTAATACTACCCGACGCCATTATCGTTCAATCGTCCGCCTGTGAAACTATCTTTATACTACCGGGAGTTTGGGGAATAAAGATTAAATAGTAACTCCATATATACTTAATTATGCAACGTTTCAAACATGGCCAGAGAAAAGTATTCTCGACAATCCCAACAATGTTGAACAGGCTAAAACTATTTTTATCAGTTATCTATCAAATCAGACTGAATGGGATCCAATTTTTTGGGTTGATGCAGACACAATACCACTGTATTCGAATATTCAATCGGTTTATCACTCATTTCAATTGAAATAAACTTTGTATTAGATTTGGTATTGTCTAGTTTGTTTCGGTGGTTTTGTCGAAATTCATATCAGTGCATTTTATATAAACAATGTGTTCTATTTACGTCGGGATTCTCCGCTCCAAAAAGTGTGATATGTTTAAAAAATAGGGCGTTTTTCTAAATATCAAAATTGGCAACACTATTATAAATGTTACCAACAAGAAAACATTGCAGTATGTTAATGTGATAACAGAAAGACATATTCTCAGCTGTTTCGCAGCAACAAGTTGCATCAAACAATGTTATACTTAACATTTGAGTTGGTTCACACACATTCAAACAAACCTCTGTACTGTTAGCATATTCTCTTTTTCAAACAAAGCAACAACAACAATGGTTGTTATACAATTGCGCGCTCACAAAATCGAAAAACAACCACCACACGCCGTTATTTGGTGTGTAGGTAAATGCTGGTATGTTAGCAGCCAGCAATTGATTTTGATCTGATGGGAGGCAAGCAAAAATAAAGCCGGCCAGCCAACACATGGTAAATATGATAATGGTTTCAAACAGTACTGATTCTTAAGAGGAGTTACATACATTCATACATATGTTGTAAATATTAGAAATATATGGGACGTTTTTCTTAATTTGTATATCAACTATTAAGTGCCTAGAGAAAAGTAGGACACTGATATTCTGTCCATTATATTATATCCCCCGCCTCTTCTTACAAAAAATCTAAGTATTAATCGATCGATATCAAATTCCTTCATAGTCTACACATCACAGCAAATCGGAAAACTTGAGAGGGAGTATTTCACCGTAATGTTAGTTCTTATTTGCTCCGATGTTTCAGTAAGAAGGATTTAAATCAGTTCTTCTAAAGCATGGGGTTAAACTCTTTGTATGGGAAAGAAAAAACAAAAAATTAAGGCAAAAATTAGTGAGAAATAGGATCCGTTAAATTCGAATATAACTGGAAAAGAAATTTTTGACTTTGTAAATGAAAAACTGTTGTCTTTTGCCGATTCAAATAAACTAGCCTGATCAAAGTTAAAATAGCCCCTTCCAGCAAAGAAATCAGCTGAAAAACTTTTATGGATTTAGCATTTCTATCAGATATATAGATATATATTGTGAATACGTTAAACTTGGAGCTTTAAAAGACAACAAATCCAACTTAAATGAGTTATGGAAAAGAATGGTGAATATCAAAAAAAGTTGTGTTCTCTAATTGAAGAATTTTTACAAATAAATAATGTAGATTATAGCCCAAATATGCAAGAAAATTGTAAAGATTTAGAATTTATTTATACTGTTTGGAAAAGCATAAATAAATTCGATTATCAGTTCCTAAAATATATATCAAACAAATGTCTCAGTTCGCGCTTCATTATATACATATTTGTAAACAACTTTTCTCTTTTCAATGCACAGAAATTAATTATCGTCAACAGTCACAGTCAAACGTATCCACTTGTTTTTTATAATACCATAAGGAGGGTGCGCAGAAATTCGATCGCGATTGAATTAAAATACATTCTTTTCGTTTTGTGCTCATTTTACGAATGAATTTATGGGTATAAATTCTTTACCAAACGAGCATTCGCCAAAGAATGTTCGCACACACATAACAAACGAGTGAGAGCACACAACAACGATCGTTCGTTTCGTTTGGTGGTTGAAATTCTTTCTGACATTCTCTCACGAATGAAAACAAACCTTCCCGAATTCTCGCGAATGCGAATTTTTGTTATTTGTTGTTTTTAAGTTTTTCAAAAGAAAGTCCTTCAGCAACAAATGCTCGCGAAAGAAGAATCGCGAACATTCGCGAGAGATTGCAAATGCTGGTTCATTCATTATAACTTTATCATTCGCGATAAACTGAAAACATTCGAATTCTCGCCGTGAGCATTCGTGAGAAAGAGCGTATTTTAATCATTATCCGCATTGGGATCATCATCTTGATAAAATGCAAAAATAAAATTAATACCATTACAGAGCCTCCTCCGTGATTTACGGTCGAAATTGTGTGCTTAGGGTCCACGGTTTTCATCAGGAAAAATAAAAGATTTCCAAAATGCAAAATCTTATTTTTCGTGCCTTGGGGTTTATGAGTGGCTTTTCGTGAGACAAATTCTCACTATGGCTATCCATGGCTATAAGCAAACTCACGCTTAAAGTGTATAAACATTTCGGATGCAATATTTAACTTGATATTCCATGAAAAGACTGACGTTTAACCGTGATTAAGTTGTCAACTTAAAATTAACTTAACTTAAAATTAATATTTAACTTAAAATTATTTTTTTATCTCTTTAAAAACTGGAGGCACGTCCTCCTCCAGGTAGTCCACTTTCTATTAGAATAGAAGGTATAGGACCATGCACCATATGAACGAGATTTTCCTTTTGTTTTTTTACATACATATTTGGCATAATTTGTGAAAAAGACTATGTGGCATCTCTACTAATTCAAAACATTTGTATATTGCTAGTCCTGATTTATATTAGGCGAGTTTACTTGCGGCAATTTTTATCGTTCTCTTTTGAACTTGCTCCATGCGTCTATATAAGGCAATTCGATTTCCAAAATATTTTTTATTTGTTGTTTTTTTTTCACATTTAAATATATATAAAATGTCAACAAATACGAAATACACAAAACGAATTGCCAGAAAATTGTCGGTACGAGCAATTTTTTTTTCATTTCTATACCCCTTGCCCCTCTCTCCTACAAACAAAGTCTTGCCGCAAGTGAACTCGCCTAATCTAAATCAAGACCTAAGGAAAAACTGCGAGAAAGCATAATTTATATTTGACATTGGATTTCTTTTAAATGATTAGAAGTTTCAATTATACGGGTTCGGATAATTGGTTCCTCGGTTAATTGAACAAAAATTTGTGTAAATTTTGATGTGCAATTAACCGAAAAATACTGTATATGGGTATTTCTCTCACCATTTTATCAAGTTCGTCTGCGTTGAAACCAAGATAGAGATTGTTGATCACGAACACACAATTTTACAGGTCCTAGGATGTATTTTATTGCAAATGGGATATATCGGTCAAATCAAAAGCCATTGGCAGCATTTAACTATTCATTGAATTGCATGAACTAAAAGTAATAAAAATTTGATTTAAAATTTGGGTTGTATAAAAATCACATTATTTAGCCTCAGTGTGAAATTAAATGCTGTCGCATCGACTTTCGCTAACGTGCTGTGTCATCCTTGTACATTTATGCCTTTGACGACTATCATTCGTCACTTTCATGTAGCAACGCCATCTGTCTTTCATTATTAAACAAATAAATCCCACTTTATTCAATACACCAACCCAACTAGTGGCAACTCTTTCTTTATCATTTCTCAAAGACAAACACCTTCTTTGTCTCTTTTGTTCATTTTCATATCAAAATCATATTTCCAACAGACTCCCTTATTTTCTCTCTCATGTGTTTCATTTACACACATATTTACTCTCTTGCTGTCTACCACAAACATAGTCGCTCACAGTTGTTGCTGTTGTTTTCGATTTTGTTTTGTGCTACATTTTCGCAAGCAGACCGACCAGCAAACAAATGTTAAGAAAATGAAAAAATATCAAACATTCCAACGTTCAAATAAAACAAAAAACACACAACACAGCTACTTACATTTGGAGCTATTCTATTCTCCTTTATGTTCTGTATTTGGTAGCAAAATTTAACAGAACCACTTTGCTTATTGTATTTATTTCACTATTCACTGAACGTCTGTATGTTGCTCGTTTGTTTGTTATTATTGCTGTTTACTAGTAAACGACGAAAACACCCGAACTAGCCGCACACACGTCTGTTATTAACACAGCCAAACGTCACAACTGTTGGAGAGTAACTGATTGGCTGAGTGAGTGGCCAAACAGGGTTTGCTTCTGACCGAGAGATTGTTGAGAATAACAGAGCAATACATTTTTCTTTTGTATGGCAATGCCGACAAATGTTTCAGCAACATATGAACATCATTGCCATATATTTTTTGGGAGAACTCATCAAACAACCGCTCGTAAACACAATACAACAACAACAGCAGGTTGATGAAAGAAAGAGACTTTATAATCGACAAAGATAGAGAGAGAAAGAGAGAAACTAATTTTATTTAGGATTCCATGAAAACTCTGAAAATATGACAAGTGAGTGTTGCCATGGTTCTTCTAAAACACAAAGTTCTGTTTCAGGTACAGTTGTGTTAAAAAAAAACATACATTTATGGATGTGGAAATGTTAAGGGTTGCCGTATCATATAAATTGTATTGAAATATCATTCGATATTAAATCTTTCATTGCAAGAATTGTCTATTAATCATTTTGTTTACTTTTGTACAAATAATACATGTGGTAACTTTGACCTAGCTAATATCGAGTTATCTATTTTTTCAATAAATTTTACAGCGAAATACCAAAAATTTCTGGTAAAATTACAGTTCCAGTTGAACCTAAAACGTTGAAAAAAAATACCAAGTTGACCTATTTTCAATTTCAAATAAAATTATTACTACATATTACCACAAAGTCAATTTCAGCAAATGTTTTAACCAACACTGTAAGTCCTGTAGTGCGACAATTTGCATGATCACCTACAAATTGGTGATCATGCAGTCATACGTTTCCAATTTTTTCATAAATTTCCCTTGGACAGTATTCAGCTTTCAAAATTTAAATGAAAATATCTTCCTTCGAAATGTACGCATATCATGTGTTCAGTTGCAAAAATTGCTAAACAATTTATATTTTTAAATATTTTGAAGTTCCCTGCCACTAAAACTTATAAATATAAGATGTAACAACCATGGTTAAATATTGAATGCAATGTTCCGCTTCAGATAATATAATTTGTTTAATTTATTGAAAATATGCCAATCGACATACACAAAATTTTAAGGAATTTCTTTTTCATATTATTTAAAATTGAAAGATGAGTTCCAAATTAAAAAGGGTTACCATAATTAAATTCTCAAATGAGGCTACCTTCTGTAATTATGCCATGGATAACAGCAAAAAATATTTACATAATTCCACAACTGATTTACAATAGGCAATTTTACTTGCAGCAATTGTCAGTTTGTGTGAAAGAGGTAAAGGGTTGCCATTCCAATCGTCTATCTTAGCCACCAAGTACAAAATTTGAGGCAATTAAAAATACCTAGTGTAAATAAAGAATAAGGCTTGACAAGATGTATTTTGAGAAAATAGTTTATGAATACGTATGTAGGGGTCTTCTGACATAACCGAGGAATGGTAATAATAAACACACCAATGAGCGAAAACTGGACAAATTTCAAAAAATAAAAATCGCATTTTATTTAATTTCTGTAAATTACCACTAACTGAACACAAAGCATATATCCTTGATCAGAATAAAATGTCGATTTACACATTCCCGTCTGTTGAAATCAGGATAGAGATCACAATATTAAAGATAGAGCTTTGA